GAGTTGGGGGGGGGGGGTTGGTAGCTGCGCATTGCAGGAGGGAGATGATAAATTGGTGCATAAATCCAGCACTGTCAGTGGGCCGTCTTGGCACACATACTGACTAAATTAAACGTAGAGCATGAAACAGGAATCGGTGACCTCTTGGAAGTTGTGATGTTGCGCGTACACGTCCTACAAGTATAATTTGTCACAAAACCACCTGAAACTTCACGAAGTGATACTCAATGTGCGATCGAGAGTGCTCCGTGGTTCGAACCCGAACCCCGCATCTCGACTGCCCCTATTTAGGCTTGAGCAACTTGACGGTATATCAGCCCTTGTTCTTACTTCCATTAACATTACAACTATGCATCGAAAGACTTTTATAGCTAAACGATTATTTGTTTAATTCGCTATTGCGTTACAAACCTCATAGTCCAATCGACTACATTGCGTACCTCCAGTTTGACAACCCGGGCTGAAAACCCCACATGGGGTTGATTGATTGCAAGTTCCTCTCCGGATTATCTATGCAACTGCTTCTTTAGTAAGACACTAATATATGGACTTGCAATTTTCACTTTTTTCTACCCACATTCATCTGAAGTACACGGAACTTGGAAAATACTTGAAACCGATTGGGTAGTCATCGTTTTCGAAAAAATTGGTGACAATCGGTAGATTTATTGCTGGGCAACGTTTCGCTTTTGACACAAAAGCTTCGTCAGGCCAAGTGACTAGGTTCCGAAGACTGTTGAACTTAGCCAACATTCGAGTAGATTTTCAGAAGGGAAAAACGCTACGCTCAGTTTTGGTGCAATTGAAAGATCCCCTGCCGGCTGAAAGGACTAGGGACTGTGTGTACAAAATTAACTGCAACGATTGTGCTAAGGTTTATATAGGACAAACTGCCAGGAAATTGCACACCAGAATTGGTGAGCATAAAAGAAGGATTAACAAACCACCAAGGTGATAGCCCGATCAAGTTGCTGACGACAAATGGATGTTTGTCCAGTATGGCAGAAAAAGATGGCTACACAATTGAGGCAACACCTTTCGGGCAACAGAGCCATTTGTTGCGTGACGCAGCCATATCGATTAGGACTGTGACACTTACGGCATGCTTATGTCCCGTAAGTTTCCCCATAAAGACAAAAGGAAATAGGTAATAGGATTAACCGTCAACTAAGAAAGATAGTGGCTCTAGTGCCTAGACCCAGTAAGGAATGGATTGGCACAGCAGTCATTCCATATAAAGCAGGAACATCGGAGGTTATTCGAAGACTGTTGAACTTAGCCAACATTCGAGTAGATTTTCAGAAGGGAAAAACGCTACGCGCACTTCAATTGAACGATCCCTGCCGGTTGAAAGGACTAGGGACTGTGTATAAAATTAACTGCAACGATTGCGCCAAGGTTTATATTGGACAAACAGACACGGAATTGCACACTCGAACTGGTGAGCATAAAAAAAGGATTAAGAAACCACTAAGGAATGCAGAAGAATACCAAACGCTGGTCAGAGACTCAGCGATGGTGGTACATTCATAGACACGGGACATAGAATAAATCTGGAGAATGTGGAAGTTTTATGACAGGGACTGCGATTCACACCATAGCGGCTCATAGCCGATGCGGTGGAAATTACTAAGCATCACAGCGTGAATAGAATCGAGGGTGTGGAACCCGCAATCGTATGGAAAGCGGTCTTAGATAAGCCGAGTTGACACGTGATGGTGTGGTTGTCAATCCACTTAAGATCATTAGAAAAAACCGGGGGATGGGGGTGGAAATCCCAACCGGACCGAAGGTTACAGCATCCCTCCTACACAAATATCTTAGCACTAGCTCACCCACACAGACTGACGGAAGGCTCAAACGAAGTTCAAGAGGGGTCATAAAATGAACTGAACCAGAAGAACTAGACACAAGCATGGAGCCAAACACATGTAGATTTCCCCACCGACCCAACACTTGTTCAACCACTAACACACTAAAATCCCTCGGCCGACACCCAACCGAGATTTAGCTTGACTTCACGGAACTTGATTGCTTTCCGCCATTTTTGTTGTATCTTGCGGCGGCCGTCTATGGGTTACGCCTGCACTAAGCCTGCCAGACTACGCGATAGGGAGAAGACAGAGAAATGGGGACACGGCTGTATTGCCAGGACAAAACATACGTAGCGTCTGCGTAAATATATAGGATGACTAATTGGCCAAATATGGTCGTTCACTTGTCCGTTCCGTACAGCCAATGGTGGTGTTCCGGTTGTGAACAGTCTCAGGCCCACCATCATGTATTACTAAGCCGTGTTTGGTGAGAACCTCCAACTCACCTACTTTCCGGACGTTTCGTACCGATGGTGACCTTGGGGATACGTCACTTTCTGCACATGTGCTTTTTCTTCTGTCTGGGCGCGTCCTGACAGTTTTCGGCCCATTGAGACACTGTACGGAATCCCCCTTAGTTATCTCACTTTTCCCTTTCATCTTCGTATCTTCCTCAACGTCTAGATTCGGGTGAAGCGACTGAACTACGGTCAGACTGGTATGATCCCTTTGTGTGTCTATGTGGACCGGGCAACGGTTCGCTCCATATTTATCATGTCATACCCCCGTCAGGGTCTGAATGACTTCGAAGATTCGAATTAAAACTGGTGCTTTGCGTTCGTGTCGCCTAGTTTATGGATATCCGAGGGAAGGCAAGGTTTTTTGAACTGTCCTAAGGGGTGTGTTCTCCGTGACCTGTTACATTTATCAATTTTTTCCTCTGATACGTGTTAATTAGCTTCGTTGCAGGGACCTTCTAAAATGGATCACTATACAGTTACCCATGCTCTCATTATGCTCCACCTGCAACTTACATCAATAAAAAGCACTATTTAACCCCATGACATGCTCTTGCGAAACGGCTGCACTGAAGCAACAATTCAGACCACTGCTGAATTTGTTTACTGTCATCAAGCTCACTGTCTACGTTGTTCTGCAAAAGGTCACTTAGGCCGTCAACCACTGTTTAACCCACACGTTCGGCCTGTCTTTTTACTCAACATCTGGTCCTGCAACAACCTAGTCTCCCCAGTGTACGTCTGCCGCTAACATGGAACGTCATACAAAATAAAGCATTGAATTCCGACCCATGGTGTCACTCGCGACAAGCACTTTTTTCATTTAGGGCTATATGGTAACAGGGCACCAAAACCGCTAACCAGCAAGATATGGCTTTCAATCTGCCATAAAAAGTGAGCTCGGACATGCAGAATCCCCGACTAGCTGCATCATTTCAGCTGATGGGCTTCAAGTGTCTTGTTTAGACGTCTATAGAGCTCCAGGTACCTCAGTTTATAAGGCAGTCGTTACATCCTGCCAGCAACCCCATCTGCTTGTCCACCAGCTCACAAGCTACATAACTACATTGCACGTTTATCAATAGTGTGCGCACATTCGCTGTGTAACCGATCCACAATCATCCGAAGGTATGACCACTGTGACTACTACCAGCAAACTCCTGCTTTGGAGTCGTTTCAGCCCTCATCTTAGTAATCCTTCTGCTGTCTGCTTATACAGGTGTCTGATTGTGGATTGTGCAGGTTGCACTCCAATTAAGGTGCTTCAGGTTGAGAGTCCGTTTACTGTCGTCTAACGAAATGTGTAGCTAACATCGGGTTTCAGTGATCCCGTAGATCAAGTGTAATCCGACTAGCATTTGTATAGTCCGCACATAAACTGCTGTCCTCAGTGTAATATATGCGGACGAATTTTGATGCTTCACTAAACTGAATTTTGAACAACTTGACTGATTCGTGATACGACGTACTACTTGCTCTTGTAAATTTCACTCCATATGTCATAACCGTTATCAAGGTTTGCTCAAATTCTACTTCACCATCCATGTAGGTCATTTAGTATCACCATGTAGATGTACTTAAATGAACTTTCTCTTCGTAAAGCTTCCAACTTCTGCTCAACTTACAAAAGCAGCATCGAAATTTTTATTACAACCGCCTTACCGGGCGTTTTTATTTGTTTTTTCGTCCTGTAAACGAAGCCAGTTCATTCTTAAAACCCGAGATTCACCGTGTAGTTGTTTTACTCTCGTTGGGGATCATCAGCACTGTGCACCCCATGAATCTGTTGAGTGATTTGAACGTTTGACTTCCTGATTAGTAGTTGAACACCATACCATCAGACAACTGATGGGTGATCAGCAATGTGATGATTCTGTGTCGCCACCGCCTGTCAGTCATACAATTTGTCATGTGATCAGTTTGATTTAGTGTTGTTTGTCCCTCAGAGACAACTCCCCTGGAGAATGGTCCCTTGTAAACTGAGGTTTTCCGTGATAGTTCATTTATCGTTTGCAGATATTGTATCCTTCGCTACTTCGTTCAACAATAGATACTTTTCTCCCATTTTTTCCAGATTTTTTGGTTCCGGGTTGCGTCATGGTCGGAAAAAGGGCTCGGTTCCTGATGTTGCTTTTGGAGTGCACATTAGTCTTATATCGGCTCGGAGATAGTACAATGCTGGATGGTCCAAATGTGGATCAGGTCGACTCAACTGATGACTTCCTGACAGATGCGACTTTACGAGGGTGTGAGTGCTGGCGATGGCCTGATTGTATAAGCAACTGTACAGTCAGTAAGTACTGTGGAATTTGTTTTGGGAACTGTATTACGTGAGTGATCGCACATTTTGGAGTCCATTTTAAATAGAAACATACAAATCATTGCTCAATTAATTCACCAATCATCACTTTTATATAGGGCGGATCTACTTGTTCCTCCATTTTGTGTGCTCATTTGGACTGTCAGAGTTTTTCCTTTCATGCCTAAGTGTCAGATCAGCATTTTCTTGCCTCCTAGTTTGCCTTCACAAGCCTACTTCCATTTTTCATTCGTCTCCGCCGACACTCACCCTGACTTGGTGCTGACACCTACCCCATATAGCCCCCCGACCTAACAACGTATTGCAAAGCCACACGACTGACAGTCTTACTGTAACCTGCTATATACGTTCCGAGTTTTAAACTGTCAGTATATTAGTGTGTCGTTCAAGAGGAAAGTGTTATCTTGGCCGTTGGAGTCCCCTCTGGTGGTAGTGCATTAGAGTTGAATGTGACTGTCCTACAGCTAGTGGCTGTCTCGTAGGGGCTACATTAATTCAGGACAGCCACGCATTCGTCCATATTTCACACTTCCCTGATTCTTTAGAGTACCCTAGGCCATAGGACCAGAAAGGCTCCTCTTCTTAAGTCAAATGAACGTGTGAAACCAATTAATAAATCATTGTTACAGTGGTTTGGTAAATCCACCGATGGTTTATCTTACCGTCCTTCCTTGATAGGATAGTACTCAAAACTTGATGAGAAATCTTCAACGCCCAGCTACCAAACCCTCCCTTTTGGCCTATCGGGTGAGCATAGCCCCTGATTATCGGCCGAACTGAATCGTCAGGCGACCTTTGTGCAGAACGTTCCGTAAACGAAGGTCAAATTAAGAGATTATTATGAGTTCCATGGAAGCAACATTTTAGTATGCAAGTCAATGTCCGATTCCACATTCAGTCGATTCAGTATTCAAGTATGGTTGACTCGATGGTGAGACCGACAATGCGTTATTAAGTAGCCTTCACTAACTTTACAGGCAACATCATTTCAATAAAAACTAATATGATGTCTTTAATGACGCTTCAGTGGCCTCTGCGTAGCATTTTCAGTATACGAAAACGTTCTAGTCTCATTTTATTACCATTTTGATTTTCAGACACCACACACACCATATCCTATTTTTGTGTCAAAATTATACGTTACTTTGGGGCGAGATGGCTCAGTGGTTAGAGAGCGAACTTATCAACCGGAAGGTTTGTGGTTCGGACCTGACCTCTGCCTCTCGACTTCTCCTGTCTAGGCTTGGGCAACCTGACAGTATTCTAGCCCTCTTGCTTCCTTCTGATTGCATAGCAGCTAGGCACCGAAAGGGTGCTACAGCTGAACGATTTTTTTATACGTTACTTTCCATTTTATCGTCCTCCAATTAGTGTGCATTAGATAAAGAATAATCTTATCGAGTTGAAACCGAGCTATTTTATTCGTCTATTCTGCCACCATTTTCTGTTTATTTGGATTTTGATTTGCCGTGTGGTGTCTTGCAAACGGCTGACGTCGGTTCGTTGGTTTATGTTCGTCTTTTCCGCTACTCACTTCTTTGTTTGCATTCAGATTTTTGACAGCTTGTGTTTGGAATGAGTACATACCGAAATGGAATTTGACCTTCGTTTACGGAACGTTCTGCACAAAGGTCGCCTGACGATTCAGTTCGGCCGATAATCAGGGGCTATGCTCACCCGATAGGCCAAAAGGGAGGGTTTGGTAGCTGGGCGTTGAAGATTTCTCATCAAGTTTTGAGTACTATCCTATCAAGGAAGGACGGTAAGATAAACCATCGGGTGGATTTACAAACCACTGAAACAATGATTTATTAATTGGTTTCACACGTTCATTTAAGGACAGGCCATCGTAGAACAGATGAGCGTAGAAATTTTGTGACCATACTCGTATAAATTACAGTCGTACAATCAGTCCCTTTGAGTACTTGAAGGAAGGAAGAATTAAGCAGGCTTAGGAACATGTTATATGATTTTTGCTTGGGATAGTCTGCACGATCACTCGGGATAACGGTCTCATGGTCCTTCTATCCAACTGTTGGATAGGTTGGGATCATTGTCGGTAGTAGGAGAAGGTTGGCGAAAAGTACCCGATTACGGTTCACGGGTTTCTTCCACCGAGTGGATCTAGACTCTTGTTTACCTCTTGAACTACAGTTTGTCCTTATTATGAGTAAATTACGCATTCGCACACTTATATAATGATATTAATAGTATCCAGTGCTAACACCCTTCCGGTGCCTAGCTGCTATGCTATGTAACTGGCTTGAACTTGTCAGCTTTATGGTGATCGCGCAGCTACAATGCAATGCTCTGACTCCGGGGAAATAAGTTTGGGTGACACCGAAAGGTATCTTCGGTAGATTTCTCTTCTCGTTGGGTAAAGGAGATGAAGAAGGATCTTATCCAACATGAGGCCGTCAACTGGCATTTTCAGTGTGCTTTAACCAGCAGTTTTATTGACTGCCTCAGTTTTTCAATATTATTTCATATTCGTGACGAAACTTTGCTGTTCAAAGGAGTACACCTGCATAGTGGCCATGTAAATCGTTGTGAACGGATAAATTTTGCGCCCTACCAGCATGAAAACTGCATACCTGACAATTCCCACATTGTTTTCTTTTGTGGTAACACAAACAGTGACAGTTGTGTTGAATTCTGTATGTGTAGAGTTCCTCCACTTCGTTCCATCTTGTCCCAGCTTCACATCCAATCCGCATCGCAGCTGTGACATGTTCCGACGACTGATTTTGTGCACGCATTTTGGGATTAACTATCAATCATGACAATCAGTGTTTAAAAGTGACGTTCATCTAGAACCTGATTTTCTTTCTACTTCTTTTCTGAGTGCTCGTACCCCGTAGGAGGAAACATTGCGTAACACTTAATCGTCATCTCGACGTAGATTTCTCACGGAATGAGGGTTTATTTGCGGTAAGGCCACCTGGAGTATCAATTTTGTGTGCTGAGTCACATGGACGCCGGAAGGTCCGGTGGCCAAAGAAATTTCAGTGATACATTAGTATAAACTTATGATAGGCCGAAGAGATTTGGGCATTTTTATGGGATTTCATCCCGTAGGTGTAGCTAGTCTGTTCGAAAAGCCTGGAAGCATCGTACAACTGTTCCATCCCTATTGGGAATCATCATCGGTACGCATCTCACGAATCTCTAGGGCGTTTCGAACCTGCGACCTCCCGGCTATTAGGTTGAAATCGTCATAGCAACAATGCAACCCTACGATATCGAAGTTAATTTTCATGTACCTAGGGGTGATATTGAGATATTCGAACCTGGCAATTCTAGGAAACTAGGTGTGAAACCTGATGGTATCGATGGCCGGGGAGTAAAAATCTACAACTTACTGACTTCAGTATGATGGCTGAATTCATGATAACAGGGTTCGAGTACACACACGTTGGTTGTGGCTCTGGCCGACTGCGACTCTGTTGTGGTATAGTTGATTCGAAATTCATTCAGCTACATAAGATGTAATGAAATCCCAAACGTATTTCTGGCTTAGAGGGTTGTCATCTCGAATTTCATTTGGATACATGCTGCAAAATAGTTTGTCCGACTAAGGTTTGATGTCGAGATATTTTGAATTGGTGCAACGGCCATTCCTGTGTTTACTGTCCCATACCCAGACAATGGTAATGTGTATGTTTCCAGTGAATAGTTTTGTCGAATCTTTCATGCTCTTCTTCCACACGTTAGAACCAGGTCCTAGCACGTTTCCCAATGTATACCTTGATTCCTGGTCGTAATTCACACATTTCGTAGTTATCTCTGTTCAGACAACGCATACTCTTCCCCTTCTGCCTGTATACATAGACTGGACACCTATTCCGTGATTTTATTTCCTTGTAAGGTGAATGTAGTTCCCTCGGCTTGTTTTCCAGGCACCACTATGCACACCTGTTTTCCATTCCTGTAGTATGCCACAGTTTATGATTCGCTTACACCGTCAGCTAGTAAGTAGCCAGGTAAGGGCGTTGATTTAGACCGCGTGACTTTGCCCACTGCAAGATTGTGTACACACAGCATCCAGCGAACATGTGTACACCTCCATCAGTTTGTTCTTCTCCCCACGTACGTCATCATTGGGGTGTGACTCATCCAGCGCCGTTGGTACTGGCTTGTTTTTCTGCCGGTTGTCGAAGGATCGTGGTGAAAGATTGATGATGATGTCGATGGGGATGGAGGAATAACGGTCAGGTTTAGTGAATTGTGTATTTGATTGATTCCGCTTCTGACTCACCCCACTGGCACTATCATTTTGTTGAACACTATTCAGCCAATTCGAACTCGACAGCTGGTGTCGATAACAAGTACGATGCACATCTGGTTCATTTAACATCCCCATGTATGCATCTTTCGATACGTCTGTTGCCTGTTTCATAGATGATTCATTTTAGTGTCATTGCGGTTTGCCTATGCTTTTTCGCAGTGTGCTTATGAAATGAGGCACACACCAGCGTAAGGTGCCGTGAGTGTGTTACCTCGTTACCCTCCAGAAGCTCTACCAGATTTGCCTATCAACTGAGCGTGATTTAAACCGTAGAATTGGTCCCATTTCAACGATAGATTCAATGGTATAATACTGTTAAGTGGGATCTATCTGGGATAAGTCATTTAAGTGTTCGATAAAAGTAAACTTAGTAGTTTTGAACTCTAACAATCACTCGGCAACCTTGATTCAGTAATATCCGGCTTCTCTCCCTAAAATCTATCGGACCCTGCATTCGTCTTTGATGTTTTTCCGGGTGCCACCCGTCGGAAACAGTTTAACTGAAGGACACCAGCGGTCTGGACGAGATGAGCGATTCTAGCTTGGTGTATTTGATCTCGATGAATGCAGTGGTTTTGGGTGTTTCGTTCCATGAATACCCCCCGCCGTGTGTCGAAATGACATTTGAGTTTTTGCTCCACTTAGGAAGAGGAATGGTCGAATTATTCGGTTTTTGGGAGTTTCTTCTACGACGGCCGAACAGGGCTGGTCACGCTAAACTATCTTCGTAGCAGATGATACCCATAGGAAATCTTGCCAGTTGTCTTACAAGATGCCTCCGTCAAACGAAAACAAGAACTAAACTCCATACAGACTAATTTTAGGGAATATTCGACTCCCTCGAGATGAAGTACTTCTTTACTCATACTCAATATTGCGCGATTTTTTTCGCAACATAAATTCGAATAAATGAAAGATTACGACGCCCTATTTAAGACCTTCCAAACAACACTGCTTCGAACCAGTGATTCAGAAATGTGCTACCAGTGAAGACATTATAAATGACCCTGCTCATTTACTTGGGAAACTACCGCTATTGTACTGCCGTCAATTATGGTACACGAACAACAAAGATTAGCTCAATTAGGTGGTCGAAAGTGAGCATCCATTTAGCTTTCAACACAGTGGTTGATTAGGTGAATGAGTCGGATGTGATCACTTCCTCTTACCCAATAAGACGGGAATTGATGTTGTCCTTTGCTCTGCGTTTGGAGGCTTGTTTTGTTCTCTTTGTATTGCATATATATATATATATATATATATAT